TCAAAATATGGCTAAGTGTTGGATTTTTGCTAAGGAAAGAGAAGGATTTGAATTTTCGCATGCGAAACCCAATTCGCGCCCTGCAAATCCATAGTCGCGGCTCGCGAAAACTATTTCGCCAGCGAAAACAAGATGGCCAATTTCAGCTCCAAAGTGTTGGCTAGCCGAAAGCAGTTTCGCAAGCTGCCAAGCCGTACTCGCCTGCGACTTCATTTCCGCGTTCCGCGAGTCTCGAGTCGCGGGGCGCCAATCTATTTCCACAGCGAAGCACGCCACATGCCAGTTTTCAGCAGCATTTCACTCGCCAGCCCAAACCACGTTCGCTAGCTGCCAACCGCAACTCGCTAGCGAACGCCCTTTGGCGCCCCGCGAACACGCACTCGCAGCTCTCCAAACCAATCTCGCCCGCGAACGCGCCCATCCAAATTTTCAGCACTATTTCACTCGCCAGCCCAAATCAGCTTCGCGCGCTGCCAGTTCACTCTCGCCAGCCAACCCCAAGTCGCGACTTGCGAAACCCGGCGAGCTCCACCAGCCCATCTTCTTCCCCAAGACACCGGCGCCGCCGCGCACCACCGCGAGCCACCGTCCGCCGCCACTTTCTCCGGCCAACTTCCTCCGATCATGACATATCATATATCAACGTGAAGCTCTCGTTGACGCTGACAACATATCCGGAGATCAAAGAAAAATTCCGGCTAGAAGGCTTCCGATTTTCCGGCGAAAGCTCGTAGATCTACAAATCACTTCAACCTTCAAATCCAAATTGCCGGCGACTCACTTGGAGTTTCAAAAATCCGAGACCACTCCCGGACTCCTCTCGCCGAGGCGCACCTTTTCCGGCCACCGTCGCCGGAATCCGGCAAACTTTTCCGACGACCATTTTTTTCGGCGAATGAGCACCCACCGAGCTTCCGGTTAGTATTTTTGAGCTTTTCTTGTCATATAATATCGATTCCTATCGTTGGATATATTTTCCGATGACCGGAGCTCCATTTTCACCTATCTCTCTACTTATACACTCCGGCAACCGTTTTTCTCGACGTTTTTCAAGGTACAACGCCTCGAACTTGCTTTGTATTTTTATATTTGCATTATCTTCGTTGTGCTTGATTACTACTCTTGCCGGAGTAGTCGTGATACATTATGTGGGTTAGACTTGTGTGATAGGCACGTCTTGCCGGGCGTGCCAATTTTCGTGTTGTTGCCGGATTTTTGAGTTTGTAGGTTTCTACTTACGGCAACCGCCGGTAATCGATTCGTGCGTTGATTCAAAAGAGGAGTTGGTTGTGTTATATTATTGCGCGTATCATTAACAACCTCGTGGCCCAATATTTTGAGCTTTCACGCATAAGTGCATTTTCGTCGAGTTTATGGAATTACGGTTATTATTTCTCCGAAATGCATACATGTGGCCTTCATTCGGTACCGAAGAACGGGACTCTCTTACATTTTGCATGTTATATGCCCGATATTTTGAGCTTTAACGTATACGTGTGTCTTCGTCGAG